GGTCTCGATTTCGTATTTGCCTACCTTGATGACCTCCTTGTAGCAAGCTCATCCGGCCCTGAGCATGAAGCCCACCTGCGCACCCTTTTCCACCGCCTGGATGATTACGGCCTCGTAATTAATCCCAATAAGTGCCTCTTCGGCATCGCTACAATAGAGTTCCTAGGCCACCTTGTCACTCCAAAGGGTATCCAATCACTCGCCAGCAAAGTGAAGGCTATTCAAGACTTTCCACCCGCGACTTCACTGAAGAGACTCCGAGAATTTCTGGGCCTACTAAACTTTCATCGCCGCTTTCTTCCAAAGTACGCCACATTCCTAAAGCCCTTGACCGACCTATTGGCTAAAAAGAAATACCCAGCTGCGCCACTGGAGTGGCCCAAGGACGCTGCATCTGCCTTCGGCACTGCCAAGAAGGCTCTGGCAGACGCTACCATGCTCATACATCCCGTCCCTGATGCCCCAATTCGTCTCATCACCGATGCATCAAGCGTGGCAGTTGGCGCCGTTCTCGAGCCAGCACGTATCGGGTTGGCAGCCCCTTGGGTTTTTCCTCGCAAAAACTGAAGTCACCAGAGACAAAATACAGTACATTTGCCCGAGAACTCCTGCGGTATACCTCGCCATCAAACATTTTCGTCATTTATTGGAGAGCCGGGACTTTTACGTCGTTACAGACCACAAGCCCCTGAGGTTTGCCTTCTATCGCAATCACAGCAATTATACTGCACGGGAGATCCGTCAACTATGCTTTATTTTCCGAGTTCACTGTGGATCTCAGACACGTAGATGGGCTGGAAAATGCTGCTGCTGATGCACTATCCCGCATCGATGCCTTGTCGACCCAGCCACCACTAGACATGGAAGAGCTAGCAGCTGCCCAAAGCAACGATCCTGAGCTGCATCGTCTTCGCTCTTCATCCACGTCTCTATCGTTCACGGAGTGCCCACTTCCATTTTCTACTTCATTGATAACGTGCGAAACGTCTACTGGTGTCCCTCGGCCCTTCGTGCCTTCAGCTTTTCGTCGTGCAATTTTTGATCAATTGCACAGCACGAGCCATCCTGGTATTCGTGCGACACAGAAGCTAGTCACATCTCGTTTCCTTTGGCCAAGCATCAATGCTGATGTCTGACGCTGGGCGCGAACCTGCCTTGAGTGCCAGCGCGTTAAAGTTCACCGTCACACTGTCACGGCAACATCCCGGTTTGGGCCCCCAGACGCAAGGTTTTCTCTCGTCCATCTTGACATCGTCGGTCCTCTTCCGTTATCGCAAGGAGCCTGTTACCTGCTGACATGTGTGGATCGCTTCACCAGATGGCCGGAAGCGTTTCCCATTTCCGACATTACAGCACCAACAGTTGCCAAGGCTTTCACAAACGCCTGGGTGTCGCTCTTTGGATGCCCTTCTGTCGTCACCACTGATCGCGGTCGTCAGTTTCAATCGGCCCTTTTCACCGCACTTACCAATATCCTGGGCATTCGACACATCCAGACAACTGCCTACCATCCTTCCGCCAATGGCATGGTCGAACGGCTTCATCGACAACTGAAAGCTGCCTTCACTGCTCACCAGCCAAGGGAACGTTGGCTCGACCACCTCCCCTTCGTACTTCTGGGCATCCAATCATCATTGAAAGTGGATCTCGGCTGCTCATCAGCCGAACTAGTCTATGGCGTTTCCCTGCGTCTTCCAGGAGAATTCTTCGAGCCATCATCGCCACCTTCCACTCACGATGCCTCCACGTACATTCGAGAGCTGCGCACCATGTTTCGGGACCTTGCTCCTGTGATTCCTGCTGACCGACACCTCCAGTCTGTCTTCGTCAGTCAGGATCTGCATGACTGCAGTCGCGTCTTCGTTCGGCGTGACCAAATACGGCCACCACTAACACCAGCCTATGATGGCCCATTCCGCATACTCCATCGTACACCTAAGACGTTCGCGCTGGGCATCAATGGCCGTGAAGACGTGGCTGCTGATCGACTGAAACCTGCGTATATCGCCGCTCTCGCGGCTGCGGGGTTTCAATCTAAAATTGGATGCCAACATCCAAGCATGTCCACTGGGTGACTCCTCTGGTGATTTTTGCGGCTCTCGCTCTACGGGGGGGAGCCCTGTAGCGTCTCAATGCACCGCTCGTCAAGGAAGAAGAAGTTGGCATTTCGGCCGCGCAGCGGGTGCAGCGCGATAATAAATAAAATCGGTTCGAAAACTGAATGCTGTCAGGGCTGGATCTTTCCCGTGTTAGCTCCGACATATTAAAACTACATGACGAAACTGTTTCGTAATAATGAGAAGAATAGTACTCAACTTGTGTTTCAATGGAGGAGAGCAAGAAAATTAGTAGCGGCACAACTCGCAATAAACACACCTTGTGTTCTGTATGTCCATTAAGCTGCATATCATGCTCATGGACGTAGATGAACGTTATTTCAGGGAGTTGGATGGAACAGCTGTGCCATTTGCGCCATTGTGTGCCTAATTGTTTGCCTGCGTCATTCAGCGCCAGTTCCACCCATGTTGTGCAAAACTCGTTTGTCTGTGCCGTACTGCGCCGCAGCACCCGAGCTTAGTCCTAAGATGTGACAGCTCCTTGCTTGTAAACATGGCTGGCTAAAACATATACTTTTTGGTTTTATCGAATTGGTTATAGTTCAGGCTTTTTCAAGGCTGTGAACGCTCCAGCAGCAGCTGTGAACGTTGATTCTCGTGGCGCCGTCATGATCGCTATGTGCGCGTGCTACCACGGCAGGCGTCAGCGCGAATTGCTCGTGAACCTTATGTGCTGCACCCTCAATGTAAAGAGACTTCGAAAGCAGCATCTCTTCCTGGAGCGGCCATATTTTTTACATCAGTGTTTACACTAGTATAGTTATGTGTTATCGGATCTGAAAAGCTTGACTGCCAGCCTTACAATTTGTTTCTATCACATTCATTGCTTTGCCCTTGCGGTGAAGCTTTTTTTAATGTATAATCTGATGGCACTGTTTGGGAAACGGAAAAAAAGGATTACGGTAACAGTGCTCAAAAGAAGTTAGATTGATGTTCGATCTCCGGGACAGTCGGGCAAAGACAAGTGTGCAGGACTGGTCACCGAGTGCATGAGCGTAATCTTGTTCATTTGGCTGCTGTGCTCCATTATATGCACTTATCGACTTGGCATTTGATGCTCGCATGTGCAGGTTAAACAAAATTGGTGGCTGTACATAGCTAAAAAAATTTACATTTGCACCGCAAGGGCATAGCAATGAAGGGGATAGCAACAAATTATGATGTATGAAGTCAGGCCGGAAGTTAACTCTTTTGAATATAATCTAACGTAACTGTAACGCTGGTGTAAGTTAATATGGTCGCTTCAAGGAGAGCAACACTTTTCGCAGAGTGTAGTACGTAGAAGTGTATGCGAGCTGCCCGCTTATGTCTGCCAATCGTGACCACGCTCTTAGAAGAAAATTTCATAAATGCTGCTCAAGAGACACCCTCCCCCATCCCTCACTTCTTTTCATGCTTTTTCAAGATAAGCGGAGCACTTCACTTCTGCTTCGATGGCAAGCCTCTGTAAAAGACTTATGACATCTACGCCTAAAAACTTGTCGAGAATGTCCTTATAATTCCCATAGCAATGATAAGGCTATTGCACAATTTAGCCAACTGTTTGAGAACTGCATCTTTGGACAAATGTTGCTTTTTGCAAGTGCTGTGTAGCGGAGCCACATTTGCTCTGAATGTTCTGACTGCTCTAAAATTGCTCGGAAAGGCCCTTCTGCCTGCTTCAGAAACACCTTTCTGGCTACTCGAAGCCTGCTTGCTCTGAAACGCACTTTTGCCTGCTCCCCAGGACTGCTCCAAAATACATGTATTCTGTTTCAGCCCCGTTGTTTGCTGGAAGCCCTTGGCTAAAAATACCCACGTGACTTGCCTGGTGGGCATCATGTTTACCATTGTGCCCACATCAGGCAGAGGAACAAAGAGTGAGCTCATATAAATCCCAGAGGAAAAGAAATTAAAGAAATACTTTACCTCCCATTTTCATACCCAGCTTGAAGCCTCTTGAGTGAGACCTGAGAGGGAGAGACTCTTTATTAGGAAAACTGCTTTTTGTAGGTGTCCATATATCGCTGACATGCTAGTGAGTTATGTTTACTTTTTATCCAGGATGGGAAAAGTATCTTGCTGCATGTGGTGTGAACATGTGCTTTGCTGCGAAGTCCAGTGATGTTCCGTGCAGGGAAATTCTCTTTTTTCGGGGAATTTTCGCCTGTCACTTTGAGCAAAAGAGAAAAGGGGAATTTTCGTGACATTGCAGGGAATTTCAGGAATGGTTAAATTCTCCTCATGACCAATAAATAGTGGTCACAGTGTGCCTTCATCTGCTGTAATCGGTTCTGCCGCATGCACCACACAAGCATAGCCTTTGAAATTTGTTTCTGATATTTACATGGAGCGATTTTTAGTTCACTATTGCTTTTACACTTGAAACCCACAATGTGCAGTGTACTAACAGTATATGAATTGATAAAGTCATGCTTTCATTGTGCGGTTGCAGAGGCGCTATTCATGATTTGAAATATTGCCAGTACGCCAGACACTTGTAAGTAAAGTATGTCTGTGCGTGAATGGGCGTGAAAAATAGTACTGTTGCCCAGGGAAGTATGCTGAGAATTTCGTCAACGTTTGCAGGGAAAATTTTCCGAAATATGGAATGTACATGTCTCTGATGCGGAATTATTCGGCGTAGTACGGAACATCACAAGCGAAGTCAGGACACTTGCCAACAAAAAGCTGGCGTGTATACTCGAGTAGTTCTTCAAGCTCTGTACGCTGCAGTTTTTTTTTTTTCATAATATTTTCAGCCTTTCTGGCAGTGTTCTGAGTGAGAGATTTTTCAATTAACAATTGAAGTACTACAAGTTATACTAGCTTTATTTGCACTGTTTCTTGCATTGCTTTTGGTGTTAAACATTTATGTCTGACCAGCATTGATTTGCTTTACAGACAACATTGGCCCATATAATTGCGAACAAGTGCAAGCAGTCATCAGATGCAAGGTTCGCAACCTTGTCCGCAACTACGGCAGGCGTGAAGGATGTCAAGGATGTCTTAGAGAGAGCCAGAAATGACCAGAAGATGTTCAAGAAGAAGACCGTGCTGTTTATTGATGAGATTCACCGTTTCAACAAGCTTCAACAGGTTTGTCACAAAAGTGTTCTGACGTTACACTGAAGCTGTTAATTTTTTCCTTATACCTTAATGTGCTTGCGGTACTATTATCATCACGAATGGCCTGTACCTTTCTATAGTGTGAAACGGCATAGTTGTGTGCTGATGCTTGATGCTGATGACCTCAGATAGATGGCGCTCACCCACAGAGGGGGATGAGCCAAGAACCGGGTGGCAGGATATTTAAATGAAACTAAAATGAAATAAAGCCAATCTGATAAATTAGTTTAGAGATAAAACTGCCAATAAACAAAAATGGTAGGGCCTGCACTCTATTCGTTCTTTTTATCTTCTCCTTCCCTCGCATGCCAGACAATCGGCTATGCCGATATGTCTGGTATGGGATGCAATACTAACTCGCATGGGCAAGGTAATGAATACAGGGAGAGACAAAGAAAGAAAAAAAAGACAAGGAAATAAAAAGTCTGACAACAGAAGGAAAAGAAAAATTTTTGGTGAAAAAAATTTTTGGGTAAGTGCCTACAAGTGGCGAATGCAATGCCAACAATAATGGCATCTGCCCTCGGTGCACTTCTCAGAGGAGTGTGCTATTCTGAACATGTTATCATGTTTTTATCAGATTGAATGGACGGGTGAAGAGAACAACACACTAAAATCAATGATGACCAAGTCCATTTTAGTAGACAAAGACCACTGTACTAATAAGCTATATATATAGCCCCTTCAATGAATGTGCTCTCCTGTTAGCAGCAGCTGTTTGCTGTGGTGGATGGGATGCCGTTCGCTGTTATATCTTCAATGAGTTAGCAGCATGGCTGCATTACTGAAATGGGACTAATTTTTTGAATGCCAGTTGGTCTTTCTTACAAACTGGCGCAATTTGGGCTGTCTTCCAGTGGTGGACAAACTCCAACAGCAATAATAAAGCACAAAATATTATATCAGGAAACTCTGACGTGGTTGTGGTATGTCTGCAAAGAAACATGTTAGTGACATTGGCATGGACATTAAGGTTTTAAGATTGGTACCATAGAGAGTATGGCAGCATGTGATGTATAACTTGCATCAACTGCTGGGATGCTCCGCAGTTACATCAACAATCACTGCAGTCAGAGTGAACACTCGAAATGTGTATCATGAACGAGTTCTACCATCTCTATAACCATCTGTCCATTTACCGTTGTATTGGTCTCTTCTTCTCAGGAATGTGATTCCTCGATTACTTGGGCTACAATCAGGAGAAGGCAAATTAAAATAAGAATCTCACAATCCATTCTCAACAGTTGTAAGCTTGCCTTTCACTTCAAACTCATGGTTTGGCTGCTCAATGGCCTTTTTTGATCTCGTTAACTTATGTCTTTTATAAAAATGTTGCAATTGGTCCATTCTCAGCAACTACATTCTTGAGGTTGGATATGTACTTCTTTGTACATCTCTTTTTTTTTATGGTATGTCTATTATATTCAACTGCTTTGCATGATCTTACATGGAACGTGTGAATGTTTTTTCTCAGTCTGATCAGATAGCTTTTGCAGGACGTCTTTCTGCCAGCTGTGGAGTCTGGCACGATAGTCCTGGTGGGAGCTACCACAGAGAACCCGTCCTTCTCCCTCAACTCGGCTTTGCTCTCACGATGCCGCATCTTTACTGCTCGAGAAGCTCCCCACTGCTGAGGTAGCACTCATTCTACATCGTGCTCTGGCCCATCTGGACGTTGAGCTTGTCTTCAAGAATGACGAACCACGAAAGGACCTTCCAAGTGGGTAAGCTAGAGAACGAGGCTTTTCAATTCACGTCAGTATCTGCGTGAGCGTGGAATGACCTGCCAAAGCTTTGCTTTAGGTTCGTAAATGCTTGTTCTCTTCAGGATCTATCGTGCAGACTCTTACAAGGGCTGCGCTTCCAGTTTGGCAGCTCAAATGCCAAAAAAAATCCATAAATTTAAAGTTATTGGTGAGAACTCCATAACTACTACAAAGTGCGTAAACTTGGAGGACCCTTGAGTTTTGCCTTCAAGAGTAGAACACCCTAGCATAACCGGGCCCTCAGCACATTGTTTTCTCAATTGCTAGCCTGGCGTCTATTCTCGGCATACTATGCCTCAGCCGTGCTGTAACAAATTTCACAATTGTGCCTGTAATATTAGCAGGCTTGTGCAAATATTGTTTTGAATATTTCAACGAGTATTACTGTATTCGACTTCGCTTGGATTTGAATTTAATTTAGAAAAACTTTCGTCGAAATGAACTTTCGTCGAAATATCGTTCTGCTTGTAACCAACTGTAAATGTGGTTTCACTGCAGTGGAGACGTTTAAGCTGTGAAAGCACTCATCTAAATGCATATTAGTGCACATGTAACCTCCTGTAAAGGTTGATTTGCTGCAGTAAAGGGTGCTAAGCCGTGAAAACATATATTTTTGAGAAATGCGCACCGCTGCGAAGCCCCACTTTAAAGGCTCATTTATACCAAAGGCGGGGCGGCAGAAGTGGCAAGGCGGCAAAGCGGGAAAAATCTCCTTTTCAGGCAGTGAAAGCGGGCCGAAAACGAGGCGACAAGCGCGATCATTCCCGGAGCAATTTTTTGCTGACTGCCGAAGCTTGCCGCTTTTCGCAGCCAATTAGAATGCCACATGGCGGAGGCGCGGTAGTGGCACTGATGTACCTTTAGGAAAGCATTGCCGTCATAGTGACACATGCGTAAAAGCGTGAGGTACCCGTCTCCTCAGCCGCGCGGTCAGCCAAAGGATGGTGTGTGGTCTGAAGAGGTGCATGCACTCACTTCTTCGAGTAGCCCACTTGCTTGCTATGTCGCGTCGCCTTTGGTGTAAATGAGCCTTAAGGTTAAATGAGGACATTATCCTCACATCGTTTTATACTTTTTTAGTTGAAAAGCTTGTTATACTTGCCTGTATGCTATAAGCATAAAAAATTTTAAGACCTAACATATTTTATAGGTTCTCACTAGGGTTGTGCAATTATCAAAATTTTTTAATACAAATAAATAGCTTCAAATATGAATTGAATATTTAATAATGAAGAGGTGCAATTTTCTTTCACCAGTAATCTTTTACCTAATCATATAGTTATGTTAGAAACAGTACAATTGTTATAGTCGGTTATTATGCACAAAAATGAAAAAAATGTCACCATCTGCACTCTCCAGAAAGCATAAGGCTGTAAGTGTTGAGCTTGTGACTGTGATGTCTTGGGTTTAATCCACATGTCAAAAAAAACTTTTGTATCTTTTTTTAATACAAAAAAAGAAAAGCTTTTGTACCTGCCATGGTGGCTAGTTAGCATGAGGCCACTGTTTGATTGTGTAACAGTTAACGCCTGTGTACTTAAGTCTAAGCATTTACTAAAACAGCCTACAGGTGGTCATGGTTCATCCGGGTTCCCACACTATCAGTCTTGGCTCGAAAGACCCCGATTTTATTGTTTTGTTTTTAATTTTCTCCCCTGTTCTCACCCGTCAAGCCACTAAGGAAATAGGACTACTTGGGGCGTTTTTCAAGTACACAGCAGTACTTGTTATCTCTCTTGCTTTCGTTTCCTTTGTCGAGGGCTGCGCGCTCGCCATTTTCCGATCAAGAATGATGTGTTGCGCTGATAGCAGCACGATCGTGACGAAGATATACCAAGAGCGCAGAGATAAGCGAGGTAAGCGCGCGAAGTAGATTATTACTGATGTGTGATGGAAAGGGACTTTGAATACGCCTTTTTGTTAATGGAGCCACAACTCCCGGCAGCGAGGGCACTATTTTGCCGCATCGCGACCCCCTTGGGTGCACTGGCTGCTGACGGCAGTAAACTGAAGTTGACAAACGAGTGACATTGCAGCAATGGTGTAACAAGGGGTCGATTGCAAGAGATGTTGCCGCGCAATCGCGATGTGCGTACAACGGATTTTTAAAGCCACTGTCGGGAACCCAGTGGAACTACACAATAATCCGTCCGTCACCTCACATGTGCTACCGTTAGCAACAGATATGTGATGACGCCATTGTAATATTACAGGAAGTACATGGCCCTTTACATGTTTGCCATTGTGCGAAAAAACACGTCAGCTTATTCACATGACCATATCCACTACCATGGAATCATTCCGGAACTATGAAGAGAGTATACATACTGAAGTAGCGGCATAGCTGACAGACGACTCGTCAGGATTCGACATGTGCATGTACGTTTGTACGTCGATTCATTAGCGGAAACTGGCTTGGCTATACATGAAACGCATTACCATCGTACATCAAGCTGAGCGCGCCCCTAGCTAGTTGCGTGCAGTGCATCGCCTACTAAGCTCACTCCATCAGCACCGTGCGCTATAACGTATGCGCGTGCATTTGCCCTTGTGTAGACATATTCTTTTTTTTTCGTGCTCGCTCAGAACAGGACCGAGCAAATGTGTGAAGACAATTTTGTCGAGCCAATGCCGTGGCGGCGAGTTCGCCTTCGTTTACATGAGCGATGTGCGCTTGCGGTTCGGCGCACAAAGGCGCAACTTATATGAACTGTAACAGAGCTAAACTGCTAAAACACATGTACTGCTCATGCAGGCAGTACTTAGATTGATTGAGATGTTTATCGTTGCTAGGTTTGTCGCGAGGACGTGCCGCCGCATTCTTCGGTAGCCATCATCACGCTCCCGTGAATTTCCATGCAGGCATCACTGCATTTGCGCCGTAGTCATAGTAATCACTGCATGATCTACTGAGGCTCTTATCGCAAAATCGCAAGTTCTTCGCAGTGACATGTGCGAACGACTATTCGTGAACACCGAATATTTGAGGTTGTTCAGATATTTAAAATTTTTGAATATGGTGTTATCGAGTCGAATACAAATATTACAAATGCAGTATTGGACGAATACTCAAAACTTTTGAATATTCGCGCACCCCTAGTTGTCACTTACTTCTACCAAAATTCAAATCCTGCTACTATTCAATGTTGTTTTCATTTCCTCTGATCCAAAAAAAAAGAAAGGACTTTTGCACAGGCCTTGTTTCACTTAAAAAAAAATATTGTGCAGGTTAGTTGAATCATGACAAATATGCCAATTTGTTTTTATAATATGTGATATATACTATTCGAATTCGATACCATGTTATTCAACCAAAGTCACTCTTCACTTAGAATTCGCTTGGCACTTGAAATTCATTATTCGTACAAGCTTAAACATTAGCCGCTTTTAACTATCCTAGAATGCTTACAGCTTGTACAATGGTGCAGTGCCAACTAGTCAATAATTCTTCCTTTTGGGAATTAGCAAGGAGCCCACATGTGTTCGTAAGGCAACATGTTAACCAACATAGCTGCTTACTTTGTTCGAATTGGTATGAATTCGTCTCATGTGGCAGCACCGTGAGCAGAATTAGGCCTCACCAGGACTCGGAGAAGTAAGCTCAATCACAGTGTGCATAGGTGCAATTCTTGATGTTTCAAAGTATGTCAAGTTCGATCGCAGGTGTGTATGAGTCGGTGGCATGGGTCGAACAACAACTTTATTGCCGATAGTGATGAGTTTAAGTAGGCCAGGCGAGTGACATCACGCTTACGTAGGAGCGACAGCTTGTGCTCGCTATCGCGGCCGTGCCAACTCGGTTACATCTTCCTTTCCTTGGAGAAATATTGGTCGCTCTGGCATGGGGTACCGACGAGGCTCATGACGTTCCCAAGTGCTTCTCCGTGGTAGTGGGGGCTCTGGAACGGGACCCGAGCTTGGCAAGCCTGAGGAAAGTGTTGTGGTAGTGTCAGGGCATGGTAGCTCTGGAACCTCCCGGAGATGTTCTCATGTGCGTCGCATTTCTCGGCCATCTTCTGTTTTTACCAGTACGGAGCCTGAAGCTCCCGCTGATCCCAGCACAACGACCGGTGACCACGTCCCTGTGTGCATGTACAATGAGGCCCTCTGACCGGGTGAGAGGGCACGCAGGTCCCGAGCACTTCGATTGTAGTAGACCTTCTGCTTGTGGAGAATCTCTTTTAGACGGGAGTGCACCTTCCTGCTGGGCAATGGTGACAGCTTCAGGTAGCAGGAGGGAACCGGGAGCAGTGTTCTCGTCTGTTGACCCATCAGCCTCTGCTCAGGTGACTTCAGAATAGCATCACGTGGAGTATTGCGCAACTCAAGCAGAACTAAATGGAAGTTTGGGCTGTTAAACGAACACTTCTTCAGCAGCGTTTTCGCTTCTTGAACTACCCTTTCGGCCATGCCATTTGCGCGAGGGTGATAAGGGCTTGACGTCATGTGGGTGACTCTAGTTCATGCAGAAATTCACGGAACTCTTGGCTACTAAAAGGGGGCCGTTGTCACTACAGAGCTTCACTGGTAAGCCGTGGACCGGGGAAACTTTTGCACACCACTTCTTCAAGTGCCAGGCTGTTGTGTATCGATACTTCTTTATTTCAAAATAAAAGAAGTAGAAGTCTGCAATTAAGGCAAACTGTTTACCACCGTGATGGAATAAGTCCATGCCAACCATTTCCCATGGCAGACTGGGGACATCATGAGACAGTAGAGGCATCTTAGTGTTTTGCTTTTGCTGAGCCTGGCAATCTTTACATGATGCTGCAACCTGGTCAGTATCACTCAACATGGATGGCCAAAACATGACACTCCTAGCCCGAATTTTCATCTTTTCTGTCCCTGAGTGGGCCAGATGAAGAAGCCGAAGGATTTCAGCTCTCTTAGACCTTGGTACGGTTACCTACCGATAAGGCCATCTTGTGCATGCATTTCTTCCCCATATGCCCAAAATG